AGACAGACAGACAGATGAAGACAGACAGACAGACACACAGAGAGACCGACAGACGAACAGAGACAGACACAGAAAAATACAGAGAAACACAGAGACAGACAGACAGACACAGAGAGAGAGAGAGATGAACAGACACAAACAGAAACAGACAGAAAAATGGAGTCAGAGACAGACAGACAGACAGACAGAGAAAGAGGCAGACACAGACATAGATAGCCAGACAGACAGATGAACAGAGGCAGAGATAGGCAGACAGACAGATACAGAGACAGACACACAGAGACATAGACAAATGGACAGAGACAGAGTGACAGACAGACTACGAAACAGAAAGAGACACAGAGACAGAAATACAGAGACTCACAGAGACAGACAGAAAGACATAAGAAGGAAGGAAAGAAGGAGAGAAGGAGGGAAGGAAGGAAGGAAGGAAGGAAGGAGGGAAGAAGTGGAGGGAATGAAGGAAGGAAGGAAGGAGGGAAGGAAGGAAGGAGGGAAGGAGTGGAGGGAATGAAGGAAGGAAGAAGGGAGGAAGGAAGGAAGGAGTGGAGGGAACGAAGGAAGGAAGGAGGGAAGGAACGAAGAAAGGAAGGAGGGAAGGAGGGAAGGAGGGAAGGAAGGAAGGAAGGAAGGAGGGAGGGAAGGAAGGAGGGAGGGAAGGAAGGAGGGAGGGAAGGAAGGAAGGAAGGAAGGAAGGAAGGAAGAGGAGGAAGAGGAGGAGGTGGAGCAGCAGCAGCCACAGGGGCAGGAGGAGGCGCAGGCTTTTCCCACATGTTGGTCTCATTTCCTGCTAATTCCTTCCAGATGTTTCCAGCTTCCTCCAGGCCATGATTCATGCGGGGCCTGCAGGAGAAAAAAAAGCCACAGCAGCAGAGGCTTCCAGTTTCCCTGCGCCCCTCCTCCCCCCACCCAGCTGCTGTTCCACATTGCACACAGGAGGGACTCAGCTATCAGCACCCAGCATGGGTGCTGTGGGCCCCGAGCTCGGTGCTTCTCCTAGGCCCTGGGTTGGATCAGGGAGGAAGGACGGAAGGAAGGAAGGAAGGAAGGAAGGAAGGAAGGAAGGAAGGAAGGAAGGAAGGAAGGAAGGAAAGAAGGAAGGAAGGAAGGGAGGGAGGAAGGAAGGGAGGGAGGGAGGGAAGGAAGGAGGGAAGGAAGGAAGGAGGGAAGGATTGGAGGGAAGGAAGGAAGGAGGGAAGGAAAGAGGGAAGAATTGGAGGGAAGGAAGGAAGGAGGGAAGGAGGAAAGGAAAGAAGGAGGGAAGGAAGGAGGGAAGGAAGGAGGGAAGGAAGGAAGGAGGGAGGAAAGGAGGGAGGGAAGGAGGGAAGGAAGGAGGGAAGGATTGGAGGGAGGGAAGGATTGGAGGGAAGGAAGGAAGAACGGAAGGAAGGAGGGAAGGAGGGAAGGAAGGAGGGAAGGAAGGAAGGAGGGAAGGAAGGAGGGAAGGAAGGAGGGAAGGAAGGAAAGAAGGAGGGAAGGAAGGAGGGAAGGAAGGAGGGAAGGAAGGAAGGAAGGAAGGAGGAAAGGAGGACAGAAGAGAAGGAAGGAGGGAAGGAAGGAAGGAAGGAAGGAAAGAAGGAGGGGAGGAGGGAAGGATTGGAGACAAGGAAAGAAGGAAGAAGGGAAGGATTGGACGCAGGAAAGGAAGAAGGAAAGGAAGGAAGGAAGGAAGAAGGGAAAGAGGGAAGGATTGGAGAGAAGGAAGGAGGGAAGGAAGGAAGGAGGGAAGGATTAGAGGGAAGGAAGGAGGGAAGGAAGGAAGGAGGGAAGGAGGGAAGGATTAGAAAGAAGGAAGGAAGGAGGGAAGGAAGGAAGGAAGGATGGAGGGAAGGAAGGAAGGAGGGAAGGAAGGAAGGATTGGAGGGAAGGAAGAAGGAAGGAAGAAAGGAAGGAAGGAAGGAGGGAGGGAGGGAGGGAAGGAAGGAAGGAAGGAGGGAAGGAAGGAAGAAAGGATAGAGGGAAGGAAGGAAGGATTGGAAGGAGGGAAGGATTGGAGGGAAGGAAAGAGGAAGGAAGGAAGGAAGGAGGGAAGGAAGGAAGGAGGGAAGGAAGGATTGGAGGGAAGGAAGGAGGAAGGAAGGAAGGAAGGAGGGAAGGAAAGAAGGAAGAAGGGAAGGAAGGAGGAAGGAAGGAGGAAGGAAAGGAAGGAAGGAGGGGAGGAGGGAAGGAAGGAGGAAGGAACGAAGGAAGGGAAGGAAGGAAGGAGGGGAGGAGGGAAGGAAGGAAGGAAGGAAGGAGGGAAGGAAGAAAGGATGGAGGGAAGGAAGGAAGGATTGGAAGGAGGGAAGGAGGGAAGGATTGGAGGGAAGGAAGGAAGGAGGGAAGGAAGGAGGGAATTCATTCATTCATTATTCATTTCCTCCATTCCCCCTCCCCCTCCCCCCTTCCAGGAAGTGTTGGGCGGGTTTCCAGGCGTTGAGAAGAGGAAGCCATTCGCTGGGTTCTGGTTGAGTCTGACACACACACAGGAAATCCATCAGCAATTTGTTCCAGAAGCTTCTAGAAGCTTGGTTGGGGCGGGGGGAAGGGAAAGACAAGACCATGCACATGAGCTAATCATCATAATAAATCAACAACAACAACAACAAGAACAAGAATAGTCAAGGGACCCTGGACCAGTCACCGCAAAGGATCATGGGAAGGGGTGATGTTATCGTCCATCCTCAACTTCCCCCATGGAGGAGAATCCCAAGGGATGAACGCAACTGGGTCCCAGATGTTGGGGAGAAGGGGGGGGGGGAAGGAAATAGAAACCAGCCCCAGCCCTGGCTTATTTCTAGAACCTTCCATGGGTTGTCCTGAAAGCATCTCAAGTCCTAAGATCAAACAGATCCCCTGGGAAAACCTATCATCAATAGACCATGAGAGGATCAGTATCAATACCAATACCAATACCAATATCATCAATACCCTCCTTCCATTCCCCTCCCCCCCAAAATCATTCCTGGGCCAAGGAAGGGGGGTGGGAGGGTTGGGGTGTGTCTGGGTGGAGGGAACGCCTGCCTGGGGAATGTGCTGAGTTATTCTGAAACCTTCTGGAGCTTTCTGGGACCTTCTGGAACCTTGGGGGAACTTTCTGGAACTTTCTGGATGGATGGATGGTGGATGGATGGGTGGGTGGATGGATGGATGGATGGATGGGTGGATGGGTGGATGGGTGGATGGATGGATGGGTGGATGGATGGATGGGTGGATGAGTGGATGGATGGATGGGTGGATGGATGGATAGGTGGATGGGTGGCTGGATGGGTGGCCGGATGAGTGGATGGGTGGATGGATGGGTGGATGGGTGGATGGATGGATGAGTGGATGGATGGATGGCTGGATGGATGGGTAAATGGATGGATGGATGGGTGGATGGATGGATGGGTGGATGGATGGATGGATGGGCGGCCCCCATCATTGCTGGTCTGCTCATCTGCAGGTAGGCCAGTGCGCACAGGATCTTGGCGGGCGCGCAGGTAGCTGAGGAGTTCGCCACCAGGCACGTAGTCCATCATCCTGTACAACCAGTGGTCATTGCGCCACGTGGAGAACCTGGGATGGGGTCAGAGGGAGGGAAAGGACCCACACGTGAGGTGCTGGGTGCTTGGTGATTATCCAGAGTCCCTGTGGGGAAGTGCTGGGTGCTTGGTACCTGTCCTGTGTTAGTAATAGGCAGGTGCTGGGTGCTTAGTACCTGACTCATGTAAACAGTAGGGAGGTGCTGGGTGTGAAGTCCCGTTCCTGGGTCACCATGGGGAGGTGCTGAGTGTTTAGTTCCTATCCTCGGTCTCCATGGAGAGGTGCTGAATGCTTAGGCTCGGTCCTTGTTCCCCAGGTGGTGGTGCTGGGTGCTTAGTTCCAGTTCTGGGTTACTCTGAGGAGGTGCTGGTTGCTTAGTCCCTGTCCTGGGTCATCATGGGATGGTGCTGGGTGCTTAGTCCTGGTCCTGGGTTACTCTGAGGAGGTGCTGGTTGCTTAGTCCCAGCCCTGGGTCGTCATGGGATGGTGCTGGGTGCTTGGGAATCATCCTGGGTCACTATGATGAGGTGTTGGGTGCTTAGTCCCAGCCCTGGGTTACTATGGGGTGGTGCTGGGTGCTTGGGGATCATCCTGGGGAGGTGCTGGGTGCTTAGTTCCTGTCTTGGGTCATTATGGGATGCTGCTGGGTGCTTGGGGGATACTGTGAGTCACTATGGGAAGGTGTTGGGTGCTTAGTCCCCACTCTGGGTCACCATGGGGAGGTGCTGGGTCATTAGTCCCCATCCTGGGTTACCATGGGGAGGTGCTGGGTGCTTAGTCCTGGCCCTAGGTCACCATGGGAGGTGCTGGGTGCTTAGTCTTGGTCCTGGGTCACCATGGGCAGGTACTGGGGGCTTATTCCCCATCCTGGGTCACCATGAGGAGGTGCTGGGTGCTCAGTCCCCAAAGCCAGAGCACCCAACGGCCTGGTTCCTGCCAGGCCACGCCCCCCAGGCCAGCCATCCAATGGCAGCACGCCCAGGCCACGCCCTCAAACCCAGACTACACAATAGCATCACTGTTGCCAGGCCACGACCCCCCAGGACCAGCCGCCCAACGGCCTTACTTCCAAGCCATGCCCCCAAAGCCAGGACCCTCAATAGCCTAGTTCCTGCCAAGCCATGCCCCCTAGGCCCAGCGGCCCAGTGGCCTTACTTCCAAGCCACGCCCCCCCAGCCCAGCCGACCAATAGCATTACCTCCAGCCTCCCAATGGTGTCTTTCCAGAACATGCCCCCAAACCCCAGTGGCCCAATGGCCTCTGTTCCAGGCCACGCCCCCCACTGACTCTCCCGTCAGCTCCACGCCCTGCAGGCCACGCCCACCGCGACACCACGCCCCTCCCAAAAGCCACGCCCTCCCCGTGGCCCCGCCTCTTAAAGGCGCTGCGTCCCGGAGGCCTCCACGCACCGACGGTGACCCGGGGGCGGCCCGGGGCGGCGTCCTGGGGGGTCCTAAGCGCTTCCGCTTCCGGATGCGGACGGCGTAGCGGTGGCCATGGCGGCGGCGGCGGCGACGCTCCGCGGCCCCGCCACGGCTGCATTTCCGGGCGCGGCCGCCGTCGCCGTCGCATCGATGTCATCAGCCGGCGTCAAGACGCGGGCGCGCATGCGCGCGCTCTCGGCGGAGCGCCACTGCGCATGCACATAGGGTTATCGGGGAGGGGCCGAACGCTCCCAGCGGAGGGCTATTGCGCATGCGCAGAGGGTTCTTCAGCGGGGACAGGCTGAGCCGGCCTGGCGGAGCGCCATTGCGCTTGCGCACAGGGTTAGACAGCTGGGAGGGGCTGAGCCAGCCTGCGCCAATGCGCATGCGCACAGGGTTCGTCAGCGGGGAGGGGCCTAGCGCTCCCGGCGGAGCGCCGCTGCGCATGCGTGTCCCTTGGCTGCTTGTTCCCTCTGCCCTCTCGCGTGTGGACCCACGGCGCATGCGCACAGGTTGAATCGGCCGGGAGGCGCAGAGCGGACCCTGGAGGGTCGAGTTGCGCATGCGCACAGCGTGAGTCCGCCGGGAGGTGCCTAGGGGACCCCGGAGGATCGAGGTTCCGTCCGCATTGCGCATGCGCACTGGGTGAGTCGGCCGGTACCGTCCGGGCCGCGCGTGTGGTGCGTGCATGCGTGGGATTCCCTCGGTTGCTCTGGTTGGTACTGCGCATGCGTGCCACCTGGGGGGGGAGGTCCTCCGCGCTGCACCGCACATGCATGAGCCAGCACGCCCCGTCCTTCTCCCCCCTCCCCCCCCCCCCCCCCCCCCCCCCCCGCCGAGCAGGAACACGCATGCGTGTGCTCCCGGGCTCTGCGGGGTACGGATCTGCGCCTGCGCGGGAGTGGGCTGTGCTGCCCTGCAACGCGCATGCGCGGTTCCCAGAGACAGAGAGACAGACAGACACAGGGACAGTGAGACAGAGTCAGACAGACACTGGGACAGAGACAGACACACAGATGGACACAGAGACACAGACAGATAGATGGACAGACAGACACAGAGAAGACAGAGACATGGGCAGGTATAGACAGAGAGACACAGAATGACAGACAGAGAGACAGACAGACAGACAGAGGCAGAGCCAGACAGACAGGGAATGACAGAGAGAGACAGACAGACACAGGCAGACAGACAGAGACGGACAGACATAGAGCAAAACAGACAGACACTGGGACAAAGACAGACAGAGACAGACACACAGATGGACACAGAGAGAGACACAGACAGACAGATGGACAGACAGACAGAGGCAGAGACAGACAAAGACATAGAGAAAGACAGACAGACACAGAGAATGACAGACAGACATGAAAGACAGACAGAGAATGACAGAGAGACACAGACAGACAGATACTGACACAGACAGACAAAGAAAGACAGAACGAGACCCAGACAGACACAGGAGACAGAGACAGAAAGACAAAGAGACAGACAGACACAGAAGTCAGAAGTAGACTGATGACAGACAGACCGAGACAGACAAAGACAGAATGAGACAGAGACAGACAGACAGTGAGACAGAGATGGACAGGCAGACCAACAGGCAGACACAGATGGACAGACAGAAAGACAGAGACAGAAGTAGACTGACAGACACAGACAGACAAAGAAAGAGAGAACGAGACACAGACAGACTGACAGAGGAGACAGACAGAGACAGAGAGACAAAGACAGACAGACACAGACCATGGACAGGCATAGACAGACAGAGACAGAGACAGACAGAAACACAGACAGACACAGAAAGACAGACAGAGACAGAGAGACAGATGGATCAAGGCAGAGCTAGAGATAGACAGACAGACAGACATAAACACGGACATGGACAGAGTCAGAGACACAGAGAGACAAAGACAGACAGACAGACACAGAAAGAGAAAGAGAGACACCGAGACGGACAGACAGACAGACACAGAGAGACAGACAGACAGAGAAAGGGAGATAGAGCGAGACAGACACAAACAGAACAGACAGACAGACACAGAGCAAGATAAACATAGAGCAAGACAGGCAGACACAAAAAGAGACAGAGGAACAGACTGACAAAGACAGAGACAGACAGACACAGAGAGACACAGAGACAGACTCAGACACTGGGACAGACAGATGGGACACAGATAGACAAACAGAGACAGAAAGAGACAAAGACTGACAGACAGACAGAGACACAGAGATACACAAACAGAGCAGACAAACAGACACAGAGGACAGACAGACAGAGACATAGACACGGACATGGACAGAGTCAGAGACAGAGAGACAAAGACAGACAGACACAGAGAGACAGACAAAGAGACACAGACAGACACAGAGGCAGACAGACAAAGTGAGACAGACAGACACAGAGAGAGACAGACAGACAGACAGACACAGAGAGACAGACAGAGCAAGGCAGAGAGAAACAGAGACAGACTCAGACAGACACTGGGATAGACAGATGGGACACAGATAGACAGACAGAGACAGAGATAGACTGACAGACACAGACAGACAGAGACACGGAGATACACAA